GCTGCTGCTCCTCTGCGCCCCGGGTGCCCGCACCGGCGGCTCCCCCGGCCCCGCGCTGCCTCCGGGCTCGGGTCTCCGCTGGGGCGCGACCCCGCGGGGCTCACCTCGACCAGGATCTCCGCGCGGGGCTCCGGTTACATCCCCGCAGCTGCCCGCGCGCCCCCCATTTGCCGTGGCCCCCGGGGACCGAGCGCTGTCCCTGGAGCGGGCTCAGGGCGCCTGGGGCTTCGCGGCAGCAGCTGGGCGCTTGGGCCGAAGGCTACGCCGTGGGACGGGCGTGGAGCGGGCCGAAGTCCCCCGGGCCGTGCTGAAGGACGCGGTGCGGCCTGAGCCCGGGGCCCGGGAGCGGGACCCCGACGGAGCGCCCCGCTTCCGTGTGGAGGAGCTGAGGCTGAGCAGTACCACGTTCGCGCTGGCCGGGGATTCCGCGCACAACCAAGCCATGGTGCACTGGTCCGGACACAACAGCAGCGTGAGTACCGGCGAGGCTGGCTGGGCGGCGCGGAGGGGACGGAGACTGGAAGCCCGGTCACACCACTGGGAGTGAATATCCGCCCAGAGAGGCCAGCTCCCTTCTGGTCCCCGGTCAGCACCGTGGGCACCCTCCCTCCAGAAATCCCCAGTAAAGCTCAGGGTTGAGCGGGCACAGTCCTCTCCCCTGTTCTTTGGACGCGTTCTTCCGTGGACCTGAGGTCCAAGCAAACAAGGGACAGAAAGTACTCTCGATGTGGTGAGGAACGGGTTAAATTCCCCAGCCCCTGACATTCCTCTGGCGACTTTCCCTTTACTTCCCAGACTTCCCAAACAGCTCCGTTGCAATCTGGAAGACTCCCATCCATAAGCGTCTTGTCTTGCGTTGCGCGGAGGGCTGACCCTTCCTCCTTGCAGGAGAGATGGGCTGCAGAGCCGGCGGAGCTGCCGGATAGTGCACTAGTACATTCTCTGTCTGGGGGACCCGGGGAATGCAGTTTCGGTCCAGGAACTCCCAGCATCCTCGCAGCACTAGCAAGTATGTTTTGAAAGCTGGGGCTTCTCAGCCCATGAAAGAGCAGTTGTTCTCTGCCTTGATCGATCTCAGGAAGATCGGCTATTTCGCAGGGACAACAGCCCCCTGTTCGCCCCGTGGCCTGACCACATCTAGGAGAGAGCACAGCATCGCCTTATGAAGGCGGGAACGGGCTCCAGGGGCTTAGTGTGCCCGTCCGTGGTCATGTCAGGGAAGGTTTTTGATTTTCCTCAAAGCCTGTGTGTCTGGAATCTGGGGGGAGTTATTCCAGTTTAAACGGCGCTCAGAAACTTCAATAAGCTGCCGTGGTAGAGAACAAGCTTTCATGGTGATAGCTGAAGCCGATTTTAAAGTGTGCAAAGTTCTCCAGGCTGCTATTAAGGGAACTAGAAGAACGTAAAATCAAAGATTTATGAGATGGAAAAAATTCCAAATTGCAGCTCCAGGCAGGTTGATGGAGATCGTGCTGTTTATAATCGGCGCAGCCTCAGCAATGCCAGGAACCTTCCCAGAGCAGGGTGGCTGTCCTGAGCTTTGCTCCTGGTCAGCTTTTTAATGTGAACAATTTAAAATGCAGAGTGTGACTGCGGAGTCCTTGTGTTACCAGAAAACCTCATACATGGCATTGAGTGTTGATGCCTTTGTCTTGGGATTACCAGGAGGGTTTTCCCTATTAAGCAGTCTCCAAGACAGAAGCTGTGGATTGATTCTATAATTCTCAGTAAAGAGTTAATCAAATACTGGAAGCTAAAATTTTTTCCATTCAAGTTCTGGATACCTTTGCCCTCATCTCTTAGATTAAGCATTGTATCTTTCGTATCTGAACCAATAAAATTATTACTGCAATCTGAGCTTGGATCTCCTTAAACTGACTGAATAACTTTTATGCTGCCTTAAGTGATTAACTCAGAGCTCTGGCTTTAAAGAGAGGCTTTTGTCACGCTGAATGTAGTAGAACTTGTCGTATTAAGAAGTTGAAGAAACTTTGGACTCAAGACCTTTCTGGCTTTTAATGTAATTCAAGCTGTAAAATATCACTTACCCACTAGACCTGTGCTCCAGCTCATCTCGGGAGGATCTTGGAAAGAGGGAGAAAAAGAGAGTGCATCTTTGGCAAAACTGAATCTCCATTTAAGAAATGGCACCAGGCACTCCCTGCTCCTCCTTTTTTATCAATATTGCTGTGAGTCCAGAGGCAATTATTAAGGTGAGAGCTTAGAGCATACCAAGAAATCTGACATAATGTAGGAAACAACAAAGGTGGGAGAGTGAAAGGCTTGAACGTGAAAACCACGTTCTGTGCTCAGATGTGACTTCTGGCCTTTGAGGTCCCTCTTGCTCCACACAGTTCTCCCAGCCCACCTTGTGCCCCACCTCCCACTTGCCCTGAAGCATGTTTTCTTCCTAATGTATCCACACAGATAGCAGTGGAAGCAAGGCCTGGGCCTCTAGTTCTTTCAGGTCCCCTTACCTGGAGCAAGCTCCTGGGATGCAACAGTTTGAAGCACTTTTTAGGGAGAAGGGATTGAGGAAGAAACTTCCTGGGCAGATTTGCGAAGTGGGAGCAGGGTGGCCTGAGTTCCTGTTTTGCTCCCTCATGCTCTGACCAGGGCATAGTCGGGGTGCCCTGGGAGAGGATTTCCGTGCCCATCAGTTTAATGGCAGAGAGCTGTGTGCCAGGGTGGACATAAGAGGGTACTGCCACCATGAGGGCCTGTGCATCTCTTTGCAATTTTCTCACGTTTTCTGGGGGTGCGAAATGCACTAACCTAAACCAGGGGGCACTTTTAGGGGCCCTCATCTTTTCAGACCTACAGGAGCTGTCCCATAAATCCATGCTTTGGTCCCTTCAGAGACCTGAGTAAAGTACTCCTTTGAACCTGTCTCACTTTGAGCTAAAAATCTGTGCTAAGATGAGCCTCTGATTACAATATCACCTGCTTTCTAGGTGCAAATGTATGGTAATTATAGGCTGCCTGTCAGACTGCTGAGGGATTCTGGGCTGTTCGCACACCTCCTTCCCTTCTCTTCTCTGCCCCCTCAGCTGTTGGACTGGTGCAGTTGTGTAAAGACATGACTGTTTGCCTCATCCGTGGGTGTTGACGTGATTCCTCTGCACTGCAGCCTCCTTGCTTGATGGAAACTGTTGCTACAGTTGGTGGGACACCTGGGGGTATCTTCTGGCATAAAAGGTGCCTGGTATGAATCACTTGTCATGAGCCTGGTGTCATGAGCAAGAACATATTGTTCCTACACTACTCGTCCCAGGCATGCTGCGCCCTGATCTAAATTCATACTGCAAGCCTTACAGTGTTAGCAGTACAGACTTGTCTATGTATGTGTGCATGGCAGTGTATGTGTTTATTTCTTATTTCTAGGGAATTTCAAAGAGCTACACTCCTGGACCTCTGGACACCCTTGATAGGTAGCAAGTGGGTGACAAGTGTTAATATCTCTTTTCACATTGTTATACCAGTTAAATTGAATTTGATTACTTTAAGTGTTACTTTGCCTCTTTTGCACTGCTAGTAGTGTTGAAGGATTTGTTTGCAGAGGCTTATACTTATATTTTGTTATTACGAGACCTTTAAAGAATACTTTGTAAAATAATTTTATTGAGAAACAAATAGCAATGAGACAGTTTCTAAATTGATTAGTAGGACAGTTTTAATAATTAATACATTGTATATTGTTGTCTTAGTAGTTATTCATTGTACAAGATGCAGACATGATATCCTTTAATGCTGCATTTGTCAGAGTAGATTCATGTGGTTTTCGAGCACTTCCTTGGCTTTGTTTGCTCTGGGATGTTTGTCATCCACCCTGAGGGAGGAACTGGAGTCCTGCATGGATCAGATAGAGGCCTTGCAGCCACCTCCTCACTAGGCAGCCACAGAGACGTCACAGCAGGTGTTCTCCCACCACTCCTGGGAGAGGAAGCACAGGCTCTGGAAGGCTAAGGTGAGGAGGTCGCTTGGTGAATAGAATCTCTATGACAAATGAATGTATTTTGAGTTGATGTCTGATGGTGGCAGGAGGACCCACTCCTACTGCGAGCTCTGTCTCCTTGATAGGAGTCAGGGCTGTGGCATGTCCGGTCTTAGTGTACTCCTGGCCACAGGCCACAGCATGGGGGTTCTCCCTCCATCCACCTCTGCGTCACCACTGAGACATGGAATCTGCATCTGGAGATTCCCTGAGGGGAGCTGGAGTCATTCCCCAGCCGGCTCTGCTTCTCTTCTGGGACAGCTTCCTTTTCTAATTGAGTGACCCACTGGGTCTCATAAAGAGGTTGAGTGTTAGCATTTGATTTGGGTAGGAATTTTTTGTTCCAAGTCTTTTTCTTTTCTTTTCTCTTTCTTTGTTT